CCTTTCGGTGTGATTACCCCGATGACATCTATGGCCCAGACTGAGAAAGGCCAAGGCGAAGTCATGTTGTAGAGTTTCGATGGCAGGATGTTCATGCGATTAGCGTGGATTTGACATTTGTGGCATCGCCTAACAAAGTTGATACAATCATTCTCCATGGTTAACCAGTAGTATCATTATCTAAGGATTTTTCTGGCTAGCATTATACCGTTCATATGGGCTCCGCACTCTCCTCCATGGATGGCTTCCGTGGTACACTTTGTCTATTCCTCCTCTACATACAGATTGTGCATTCCCAGATGCCCTCTGTTGTTTAACTTATCTCCACAACTGACGAATTGAGTGGCCAGACGCCGTATCCCTCTTTTGTCCTTTGTGTTTGCCCCTTGTGGGTATGTACCACTTTCCAGAAAATTCCAAATATCAAAGTACCAAGGGTTTTCATCTTGAAGTTCTTCCGTTGTGGCTATCATTTCATACACGGGGGTGTACCTTTGTTCTATAAGGATCGGGCGCATCTTGACCCTGACCAGTATATCTATCATTGATGCCAGGGTTGCCAATGCATCAGCAAATCGGTTGTTCTCTCTTACCAGAGGTGTAAAAGTTAGTTTTTCGAACCTCGGGTTCAACATGTCCAAGGTCTAATGGTAGACTTTCATTTTTTCCTCTTTAACTTTCCAATCTCCAATGGCTTGAGAGACGACCAAGTTCGAATCCCCGATCACATCCAACCTTATTGGCCCTAGTTCCAAGGTTGCTTCCAATCTGGCAATGCATGCCTCATACTCTACATGGTTGTTAGATACCCTAAATCGGAGTTTGAAAGCTAAGGGGATATGGAAATCATCCAGCGCTATGAGCAACGTGTCTATCCCATAGCCAAATTGATTGGACGCTCCATCAAGTACAACTTCCAAGTGTCTTCTTCTATCTACATGATCTCTTCATCTGGAAATGAGTACTCTATATCTTCGCCTCCTTCAATTGGGTGCTCAGCCAAAAATTTTGCTACGACCTTTCCTTTGACAGATTTGCAAGTGACATAATTAAGGTCAAATTTGAAAAGCAAAAGCAACCAATAAGCTAGCCTATTGGTAAGTGCTGGTTTCTCAAAGAGATATTTGATTGGGTCTAATCTTGAAACCATAATTACCGAGTGAGCTAACAGGTAGTGTCTCAACTTCCTGGTAACCCATACCAAAGCAAAGCAAAGCAAGCTTTTTTCCAAAGGAGTATAGCGGATCTCATATTCAAGCATCATTTTACTTAAGTAGTAGATGGCCTTCTCCACTGTCTCATCCGACTCTTGTGCAAGTATACATCCCATAGTTGATTTAGTCACTGATAAGTACAGGATCAATGGGTTCCTTAGCTCAGGCGGTGATAACATAGGTGGATTCCGCAAATACTGCTTGACTTGCTCAAACGTAAATTGACATCGATTATCCCATTGGAACTTCTTCCCTTTGTTTAGGAGACCAAACAGTGGTTCACAAGTCAAGGTTAGCTTTGAAATAAACCTCCTTATGAATTGCACCTTTCCTAGAAAAGCCCGCACCTGCTTTTCAATCATTGGTGGCGGCATTTATAAGATGGCCTTAATTTTAGATGGATCAACTTCGATTCCTCACTGTGTGATCAAAAATCCCAACATCTTGTCCGCAGTTACCCCAAAGGTGCATTTATGTGGATTCAGCCTTAGCTTGTGTTCCCTAATTCTCTCAAAGAATTTCTTTAATGCAGTGCAATGGCTTTCCGATCTTTGGACTTGACAATCATGTCATCTACATAGACCTCAACTTCCTTGTGGATTATATCACACAAAAGAGTGGTAGTAGCTCTCTGATAAGTGGCCCCGACATTCTTCAAATCGAATGGCATAACCCTGTAGCAGTATGTCCCCTATAGTGTGGTAAATGCTACATTCTCTCTATCCTCTGGAGCCATAAGGATCTAGTTATACCCTGAAAAAGGCTCCATGAATGACAGTAAGGCATGCCCTGCAATGAAGTCTACCAATTCATCAATATGTGGCAATAAGAAATCATCCTTCAGACTAGCCTTATTCAAATCCCAGAAGTCAACACAAACTCAAATTCTGCATCTTTCTTCGGAACTGGCACAATATTGGCTAACCAAGTAGGATATTCTGATACGAGCAAAAACCCAGCATTGATTTTCTTGGTAACCACTTCTTTAATTTTCAAGGCCCAATCTGGACAAATTCTGCAAAGCTTCTACTTGACAGGTCGGGCCTCAAGGTCGAGAGGGATCCTATGCTGTACAATCTCAGGGTCAATTCTTGGCATGTCTTCGTAGGACCATGCAAAAACATCTTTGAATTCTTTTAATAAAGCAACTAATTGTTCACGTTCCTCTGAAGACAATGTAGAACCAGTTAGGATCAAGCGAGGATCTTTTTCAATACCCACATTTACCGAAACAATTTCATCCACTAATGGCTTAGCACGCCTTTCTTCCTCCCAGTCGATTAAATTTTTCAAAGCTTGAGGAATTTCTTCCTCTTCATTTTTATCAAGAACTTGAAAATTTTAGTTAATGTTATGAACTATGGGCACAGAAAAGTAAGTGAAAATCACATCTCCATTCAAATCCTTGGGCTCACAAGTTGCAACAGACTCAAAAGAGAAAGAAAAAGAAGACTCAGACATCTTAAACAAACTTTAATCTGCATCCAACCCCACAGGCCCACCGGACTTAGACTCAACAACCAATTCAAAACTCTCAATACAACTCTTTTCAAAATGCCAATTTATTTGTGAGCCATTCATTGCATCCATGATGAAGCTTGAGCAGTCATCAGACACCTCGTCCCTGATAACGGCAATGGTCATATCCCTCAAATTCCTCGGTTCAGAACTAATATGCGATTATGTCAGTAAATCAGCCAGTGTTAAACCCAGGACTTCCTTTGTGCTGCTTTCTATGATTTTTATCAAGATTATATGCTCTTGTTCCCTTTTTTTTTTAATGCTAGCATTTACTATGTGATGCGCGCATACAAGGTATAGACTAGTTTCCCGGAATTAGAACAATTTAATTTCATTTTTTTTTTCTGAAAAGAGTTTGAATAAACTAGCTCATACTTCTTTCTCGTCTTCTTTGCATTGATTCTCTCTCTCATTTCCTTTCCTTTCTTCTCCCAGTCTTCTACTATTGGTTCATACCCTAAGCCAAATGCATGTGGGTTATGGATTACCTTAGTTATCTCTGTGGTGCCTTGTCGGCCACTTCTTCCCAGTCCAGATCTTGGGATGTATCCTAGCTTGTTCATCATATAGACTAACTGAACACTTAGATGTGTACCCTCCTCTTTTGCCATGATTGTCTGCACTAGCCGTGCTTCTGCCAAGGTAAAACCCGAAAGAAAAACATCTTCACTCCTGTGTTGTACTTCCAGTACTGGCGTTGTGACTTCTGGAGGAAGGTGGTTCGTAGAATTGCCAAAAACTGTGGCAATCCCTCCATTGTGCGGGTACTTCACCAACTAGTGTACGGTTGAAGACACCGCTCTCATCTTATGCAACCAAGGCATACCCCCAACTCGGTTGAAAGTTACCAGGGCATCCATGACATGGAATTTTGCCTCATGCTCATAGGGACCAACTAATATCTGGACCTTGAAAGTCCTCATAACATTCTTGCCGGTGTTGTCATATACCCAAATAACTTGGCTTGTTGGCATGAAATCAGTCGTCTTTAACCCGATCGCATAAGCAATCCTTGCTGGGCACACATTAATGGCTGAACTGGTATCAACCAAAACTATTCGAATCCACTTCTTTCTATACTCCAAGGCAACATACAAAGGCTTGTTATGGTCAACCCCCTCAGGTGATAACTCTTTGTCTGTAAATGATAACATAGGGGTCGTGTCTCTAGGTATGATGAAAGATACTAACTGTTCTGGCGTTGTCTCAATGGATAGCTTGGCCTTGTTTAAGGTTGACAACATTGCTTGTCGGTGTTCTTGGGAAGCCATGAGAAGACCCCAAATGGAAATATTTTCCTAGATCTTTTTCAGTTGTTTTAGAACTCGGTCTTATTTTACATCTTTCTCTTTTTCTTTCTCTTTCTCTTTCTCTTTTTCTACCTCTTTATCTTTCCCAGATGGCTCTCATTGGTCTAGATGTGGAGGCTTGAAGTAGCGCCCACTCCTGGTCAAATGATCAATTTCATATGCATACCAAGTCTTATCCAGCACATTGTTTACCTGTTCATCATCAGTATGGGTGACCTGTAGGTCATTATTGTCCCACCATTCGCCTTCATTGACTGAAAGGAAATTATCTAGCATTGCTTGAATCATTCCCACAGTATGCTCTAAATGGCTTTCTGGTACTTCTTCTTTTCCTCTGGAACTCGTTCCTTTACCACATTCAACAGGTTTTTCAAAATCAAGTCTCAATTCATCCCATTTTCTTTCAGTTTCCTCATCAGCAGCTTCGTTACTGCTTGACCAACCATGACTGTAATTCTTCGGTTCCCACCATCCCATTTGCACAGTCCCAATGTCTAATTCTTCAAAGAAATGGAGATTAGCCAAGTCCTCAGCCAAATCATCCAACCCTTTTTCAAGTACATCTTCTCTGACAACATTGATAGAAAATGAGTCAGGTAGATCAACCTCAAGCTTTAGTTGACCACTGGGAACAATATACCGGCTAGGATAATACTTTTTCTCTGATAGTTTTTCTAGCCTCAAGCATAAGTACTACCACCATAGGGATTTTAGGTTTTGGCTTGGTTAGAGGTGCATCCATCATGCACAACTCAGTTCCTTCAGGAATATATACCTTTGGTTTTGGTAAATGGATAGGTGTGATATAAATACTGGGGTTAAAGGTGGATGAAAGTGTATGGATGAGGTTAAGATAAGGAGGTGGTGGAACTCTGTCATGGAGCGGCAATGGGTTGGTAGCGACGTTGGGTTTTGGTGGTTGTGGGGGAGCTATGACTTTATTGTCCATGAGATCTTAGATCTCATAAAGGAGATGAAAGCAACGGTCTGTGTCATGTCCTGGTTGTTGGCGGAAAGCATAGTGTTTGGTAGGGTCATGTTCGGCTGGGAGAGGTTCGGGAAGAGGTTGGGGGTCCAAAGGCTTCAAATACCCTCTTTCTGTCAAGACTTTCATTGCTTTAAAGAGTGACATATGGAGACGGGAGAATGTTAGGATTGGGGCACGGGTTGTGTTCGTTGTTTGCGAGCCAGCATGAGCAAAGGGGTCGACTGTTTTAGTGGTGGTGGTAACCAAGTTGATTTCAGAGGGCTTCACAGTTGTGTTAGCATTGGAACTACGCCCGAAGGTCTTTCGTATTGACTCTTTGTCGTCAATGATGATTCCTTGTTTGATGGCATCTTCTATTTGAACCCCCATTTCATGTAATTCTTTAAAAGTAAATAGGGGAAGAACTATCATTTTTGAAAACATCTTGCCATGCAAATTCCGGGCCACCATGTGAATTTGATCTTTTTCTGGTGGCCTGTTGGTCATCATCGCTGCCTTGGCTTTCCATCTAGTGATGATGGCCACGAAACTTTCATTGGGCTCTTGACGAGTGGCATCTAATTCCTGAGTAGTCACTTCAATCTGGGTGTTATAAGCATACTGGGTGATAAAGGCCTCGGCTAACTTTTCCCAACTTTGTTTTACCGAGTCCTCTAACTTGGCATACCAAATGGCAGCCACTCCTGACAAAGTTCGTCCGAATAAAGAGAGCTTTTGTGGGCGAGTGAAACCCATAGGCTTTAAGACATCAGAAAATAGGCGAATGTGCACCATTGGGTCGCCGAAGCCATCAAACCTATCAATATGTGGCATTTTGAACTGTTTTGGCAACTTTACAACTGTCTCAGTTTACCCATCGTCAATGTCCTGTATTAAATTGACTCATTGTGCCTTTTTGAAAAGTTTTTCCAACTTGGCCAGCTTCAATATAGTTGGGTCAGACTCAGGTGCCTCGGAGGGAAATAGGGAAAGAGCACTCCCGTTGGTTGTTGAAGGGGAAGTGATCCTCCTGAAGTTTGTATAGGAACCCTCATATCTTCTAGTGAGTGAAGTTCGGGAAACTCGTCAGCTGGTAGAGGTGGAGGTGGAGGTGGAGGTGAAACTAGATGAGTCACCGGAGGTGGTTGAGTGGTGGACACCCCAAATAGGCATTGCAACTCAGTAAGAGTATTGCCTTGAGCGGCAAGAGTACTGCCTTGGGTAGCAACCGTAGTGGCAATGGTATCTATACTCCGTTGAAGGCCCAATAATATGTAGGTTATATTTTCTAGAATCTGAGCCATCACTAATTCTGGTGAGTTGAGTGGTGATGATCTAGCGGGTGAAGAAGGGGTAATCTGGACAGTTGATGAAGCTTTTGTTTTTCTTTGTGTAACCGATGGCAAAGAAACTAACACTGGTTAACCCTGAACCAAATCTGCACTTTTGCAAAGTCTACCAATGTGAGTCCACAGAACTTGGCAGATATCAGACCTTTCGGAAGCTATAGTGCTCAACTACCTTGCTGAAAAAAATGGGACTCCTAATCAAAATTTCATTAGCATCCCAACTCAACTGATTACTACTAACTCATGTAAAAAAATTGAACTCAACCCCACAAACTGAAATGACTGAACCACTCATCTAAATCTGAGAATCCCCATACATTGCACTTAACACATAGTAGGAAAGAGAACAAAAACCCCTATAGGGGCTAGGGTTACCCTGTCCTAGCTTTGAAATGATCTAGTGTTTCACTATTCAAGCAAGCGGCATCATACATCCTAGAAATGGGAGAGACTTGGTATCAGAGCTACCGAGTTTGAATACTTGGGGCTTGCAAGAAGTGGTTGCTATACCACAATGGGTTCATTTCGCATGATTAGGAAATGTTTTGTTTTTGTGATTTTGTGATAGCATGCTTATGTGACTATGTGGGTATGGGATTAGACTTTTGGGATGTTGTTTGAGCCTATTAAATTCCTTGAATTCTTATTAGAAGGGTACTTGATCAATACTCATTCTACTAAGAATTCTTGGTTTCTCATGGGACGAATCTCATCACTAAAGGATAATTCGTATGTGCTTATGTGACTATGTGCTTATGTGGAGTGAATTGAATTGTTGTGTGATAGGATATGTGTAAACTGTTATAGTTTAACGTGTGAGGCAAGTTGCAAGAACAATTGGAATTATGTGTTAAATCATCTATCTTGTTCCTTAATTAGGATGTCGGGAAGAATTCAAACAAGAGGTGGTAGGGATGGAAGGCGAGGTCGACGTCGCCGGGGTATACATGAGGTGCCGGTTCATGAAATACCGGTGCAAGAGGAGGGTGTAGGCTAAGCTAACATGGCCGAACAAGCGGGGCAAGCAAAAGTGCCAGGGCAAGCCGGCCAAGCCGCAATGGGGGCTCTATCCTGGGAGATGGCTGGGGCATTGAGGGAGTCCATGAACATACTTAGGGCGAAGACCCAAGCAAGGGAGAATGTTGCGGAGACTAGAGCTTGCTTCCTCATAAGAGAGTTTTTAAGGGCCAAGCCGGATGAACTCCATGGCGGCCCCAAGCCAAAGAAAGCGAATGAATGGCTTGAACAAACCATGAATACCTTTGAGATGCTTCACATCAAGGACATGAATTGAGGGTGACCCTACCAAGTTACTATCTCAAGGGTGATGCAAGCCAATGGTGGAAGTATGCAAAGGGTCGTATAGAACCAACATGGGAGGCGTTTGTGGTGGCCTTCCAAGACAAGTACCTACCTCCCACAGCTACGGAAAGATTGAAGCAGGAATTCAAGGACCTTAAGCAACTAAATATGTTCGTGGCCGAGTTCGAAGTAGCCTTCTCCAATTTATCCCTATTTGCACTGGAATTAGTAGCAACGGAGGAACGCCGTTGCATTGAGTTTGAGCAGAGGTTGAGGACGAAGATCCTATTCAAGATTGCTGGGAACATGATCCGGAATTATGATCGCCTTGTGGAGGCAGCCGCACATGTGGAAATTATTGTGGAGGCCGAGGAGGAGAGACTTCAGAATTCGACGTCTAGGGGCCAAGGATCGCTGCGAGACTATAGGCCTAATAAGAAGAGTAAGAGCACCTTTTCATCCCAATCCCAGCCCCAGCAAAAGTAACCTAGATCTACCTTTCCCTTGCCTAGTGCGGGCTCGGGAAGAGGTGCGCCGAGTGGGTTTTCTTGCTTCAAATGTTGCCAACCAGGTCACAAGGCCTTTGCATGTACACAGAAGGGAGGAGGACAACAGATGTTGTCGCCACCACCACCTAACCGATCTCAGAGTCAGTCTCAGAGTAGAGGGCATGGGCCTACTTGCTATCAGTGCAGTCATTCGGGGCATACGAAGAGAGCTTGTCCACAGTTGGGAGGCGCATCTGGCGCATCAGGGTCAAGGCAGACTTAGAGTCACCAGCGGGCTCATTTAGTTCAGACCACTTGAGCCAATCAAGGAGCCGCCTCGGCTCAGTTTATACAGGAAGCCTATGCTCCGAGAGATGAGTAGGTTGATCAGAGGTCACAGGGAGGCGTGTATGCTGTTACAGCGTCGAAGCAGTTGCCAGAATCCTCCGTTGTGAGAGGTAATTTTGTTGTGTTCAATTCGTTGGCTAGTGTGTTGATTAATACGGGTGCATCGCATTCATTTATATCTACTATTTTTGGTTTTGCATTGGGGTTAGAGATTGATAAACTAGAGTCTCCTTTGTCGAGCGTAGAGTGGCATTGGGACGAGTGTGCCGCTCTTGCGAGATTGAGGTCGTAGATCATCGACTCTCTTTTGATTTCATCATTTTAGATATGCATACCTTTGATATCATTTTAGGAATGGATTGGTTGTCACACTTCCAGGCTACTATAGATTGTCAGCGTCATCGAGTGTCTTTATGTACACCTACTGGAGATTGCTTCTATTTTCTATGTGATCGGAGTGATGGTTCAATTCCTCCGTGGTTTAACCTTAAGGGTCGGGGAGGACTTAATTTCCTCTTTGCCATTTTCTTTTGCTCATGAGAGCAGCATGGTTCAGAATGATTTGCTAAGGGTAGTTTGTGAATATCCTGATGTTTTCGCTGAAGATCTTACCGGGTTACTACCTCATTGAGAGATTGAATTCTCCATTGACTTAGTGCTTGGCACGACACCAATCTCCATGACACCTTATAGATTTGCACCCACCGAGTTGCATGAGTTGAAGATTCAACTCCAAGAACATTTTAGACAAGGGCTTCATTTTCCTTAGTACATCACCTTGGGGAGCATCGGTTTTATTTGCAAAGAAGTAGGATGGGTCTTTGTGGTTATATATTGATTATCGCAAACTAAAATGTTAAATGGAAAAACAATCAATAAGTCATATTTTGCTCTTAAGATTACTCCAAGTCTTATTAAGTTTTCATATACGGTGGTGCTACATACACTAATTAGTGTACCAACTAGTGTACCAACTAGTGTTATTCCATTATTACTGACCCCATCTATTATACAAATTACAAATACCCAAAACCTTTGAAATTATGCTACATCATCTGTTAGTACACTAGTTAATATACTAATTGGTACATATATCATTATTCTTTCATTTATCAAGTTTTAATATAGACAATTAAATCTTATTTGTGATAAAAGGTTTCCAAAACATTTATTTCTCTATAATGGTGTGTCTTATCGCAATTTTACCGTTTCTATTTAATATGAACAATAATTTTATAAATAAGTTTACCTTAATTAAAATTTTGAATTTTAATTGTAAAAATAATTAATCTTATACTTATAATTTTGTTTATGAAAAGTCATTTAATTTGAACATTGAAAAATAATTTAATTATAAATTTTCTAATAAATTAATATTATTTATCAAATATTTTGTTCATATTTTAATGAAAAAAAATAAAATGAAAATAAAATATACTATTATGAACAATTGAATTTTTTTATAACAATTTATAATAAAAAAATAAGATTTATTTATTAATATTGAAATTTCATATAACTCAATAATAGTTTTCAAAATAAAATAGAACTTATTGATAATTTTTTCATTGTGATCCATGATTTTTTTAATATAATATCATAATTTGTACAATTAAAAAATATTATTTTATTAAAAATATTTTTGAAATTGTTGTTCATATTAAATGAGGGATAAAATTAAGATAACATTGACTATAATGGAGAAATGAGCTTTTTCGAAAAAAGTTATGAAAATTAAGACTTAGATGTCTATATTGAAAGTTGATAGAACTTGACAATAATCCTACAATTAAAATAGAACTTATTGATTATTTTTCCAATCTCAGATTGAGTGTAATAAACACAATCATCAGTGTGGTAGGTGGGTGAGTGTAGGGGTTGTTTGAGATGTCCTAAATAAGTGTACTTTTTAATTTTTTGGACTAAAAAGTTAAGGAAAAAAATATGATTGTTTGGATTAATTTTTTGACTTTTTATGAAAAAATGTGTATTAAAAAATTATATAAATTAGTGTGTAGGAGAAAATTAGAATTTGGAGTTGTGTAGCCGTACTTGTTGACTTTTGGTGAATAGTGATAACTTTTTGACTTTTTGAGTAACTTTTTGACTTTTTGACTTTTTTTTTAACTTGCCAAACTTGACCTAAATAGACATAGGCAAAATGTCTATTAATATTCTAAAATTTTGAATCCGCTTATTAGAAAATAGAGTTTTTTATTTTAAGTATTTTTTTTAACATGCAAGATTACAACAAAACTAATACGAGACTTAATACAAGAAAAATATAAGCTAGGAAATGTAAGATTACAACATAATTACTATGAAACTAAAACAAGAAAATAAATAT